GCGGTGGATATTTTGGGATATTGATTGAACATCCCGGCTAACGTGCGATGTCTACTTAGAAATATATAATAAAACACTACATAAGGATACTGTAAATTAATCGCACGGGGTGTCGTGATAATCTTCCTCTTTGTCGGTATATCATCGTTTTCGTTAAGTTGCAGGTTTTTCTATTCTGAGAAGAATAGAGTACGTATTATGTAACATAAAACAATACATACAATATGGGACAAGCAAAGCTCCGAAAATTAATGATCCAAATAGTATGTCATCCAGATAATCAAATCTGAGAGACAGATTCTGCAAAATATCTACTACCGATTTATCGATAGAATGTTAACAGAAATATAACAAGATGTACTAATTCATTTGACGAATTGACTGTAGACATCGGGAAGAATTTATCGTTACGAAACATTTAATTTAAATGGCACATTCCATTTTAAATTACAAAATAATAAATTTTAATCGATTTCTGCTGACAATTTGCTGACATATTATTATGTTGACAAGTTCCGTCGACATATATTTAATGTAGATGCAGTTGGTCTCAATCTACTGCGATATTTTATTTGAATCGGCTGGCAAATTGCTAGCACAATTAATAATATTGTTAATTTTTTTGCCTATTGGATATAACACAGAAATGATTTGCGAAGTATGTAATAATTATGCATAATAATAATTATACAAATTCCACGCGGGCAAAAAATAGTTGCATAAATTACAATGCAAAGAAGATGACGATGTAAGATTCATGATAAAAGACATCATTGTTAATGAGTTTATTTGAAAATCTGGTTTTATGCAATAAGATATCACAATTACGATTTAATGCGATAATTTAGTGATTGAATTATTATTCTCAATCTTGTATTTTTCCGATTTCTCGATCTGTTTGCCGGTGAAGAATGTGCAGAATGATACAAATTTGCAAAAAAGTAAAGAGAAATATAAACGTCACTTCTATACAAAACAAATATTAAATCACTCCTCGTAACGTGAGTCCGTAAATTCTACTTGATAAAGATATGATCTGTAAGATCCACTGTCATGTAGGATTCTATTCGCGTATAAACGTATACATTTCAGGTATATGTACACCTTTGTACTAGGGAACACTTATTATTTCCGCTTGCTTCAAGAAATATAAAACAATTGACCCGATGAGTCAGAGATACATAGCGTTCGCAGAATTCTTGTTGTTAAGATATTAATTGCAGCATTTATCTGATCAAATCGAAATTTTATTTCGTTTTAATACAGTTTCCTATAATATTTTTATACTTTATATAATTTTTTATATACATTATATATATATATATATATATACACATTGTTTTTTATGTACATTTTCAGAGTCACGAAAAATTTTCCATTTAAGTCCTTAATGACAATCTTGAAAGCAATCTAAAAAATACGCAAAATAGTCTTATCTGCATAATTGTCGCGATATCTTTCGAGAGGATCGTGTAGCATTAATTATTTATCATGGAATCGTAATGTCCATAATTAGGTTGAAAGGAGAGGGTAATCATTATAATATGAGATTGCTTTTGAAATATATGTGAAACAAAAATTATAATAAATTATAATAGATAAAACGAAATTAAACCAATATTATACAAAAAAACGTGTAAAATGATGTCTTATATCAATGATGATAAATTTTTACTCTTTAATTTATTATTCACTTATTTATCACAATTTACGATATTTTTAGCAAAAAATGCTGAAAATATGCGTAACTTATACCGAACAATTGTCATATGATCAAATTTCTTCATTTTTTGTGCTGCCATGTGAGCGATTTACATATAATTATCTAGTAATATTATAACATAGTTGATGTAAAAAAACTGTAAAAAATAATAAAAAATCTGTGATAAAAAATTCTTTACAGCTTCCAACTCTTATTATAATCAGATGTGTCAAAAATAGACCGCTAATTTTATATCTTCGAAAAAAACGAGACATGTGTATGGCATTTGCAACAATTATGAGTGCAATCTAAAAATATAAATGTAACGGCAGCTACCAATTAAGGGAATTCTAAAATGAAGCTTGAACTCCGAGAGAGAGAGATTGCTGTTTTACCAATAAAATGTGACACATCGACATATCTTTATATACTATCACATCAATATCTCACATACATATACATAAACTTTTTTAGAATAATAGCGTCTTAACTAGACGTCTACATCTAGTTCTAAGAACTTTACATTGTCTATTCGTGTAAACTACTAGTCTGTGGTCACAATTTCGTACAGATTTAGAATTCCATTAAAGAAATGGCGTGTTTATAACAGTAATTTATTAACACGTTAACCGCCAATTAATGGTCATCTAACGCCTAATTTTTTAGTGACATCCTGTGATGATTATTAGTAACCGATGCTATTCAAATTTTTTTTAAAAACGCTTGTAAAAAGAAATACTATTTAAAGGAATCTAAAGTCGTTTTACAGACTAAACGCAATAATTTTTGTATAACATTTTTTTTCCTCTTTCTTAGATTCGAAAATTCTTTTCCAGGATTAAAGTATACGCATTAATATTGTATGTGTTTGTGAGGTGGAGTTTATGCAGAGGACGAAAAAAATTGTTTAAATTGATCTACTTTATCATTTCTTAATCCTATATGGCATTGGAGCTGTTAATATCGTAACATTTGCTTGATATAAAAAGCTTTACAATAATCTATATTACGAAATTATGGTCCACAAACTAGTAATTTACACGAACAAATAACGTAGAGTTCATAGAATTAATCTTAAATTTCTAATTGTTTGACGCTATTGTTCTAAAAAATTTATGTATACGTATGAGAGATATAGATGTAATAGTACATAAAGATATGTCGATGTGTCGCATTTTATCAGTAAAAACAGCGATCTCGTTGGAAGTCTGACTTCACTTTAGGATTCCTTACTTAATTTACTACTTATTTATCTTGTAATTATTAACGGTGTTTTCAGTAAAAAAAATGCTGTAAATGTGCGTAACTTACGTCGTAAATTATATACAGTTATATCATCATAATACGATTAAATTTTATTTTTATTTCGCGCTGTTATGTGAGCTAGTTATGTTCAATTATAACATTACAATACAGAGCGCTGATAAAAAAATCGTAAAAAAAACTTATAAAAAACCCGTGATAAAAAATTCTTTGCGATCGAGATCTTGTAGGCATCAATCTTCAGAAGCATCAAGAACAGACTGTTAAATTTTACATCCTCAAAAAAAGTACGAGACATACATATGTACGACATATGCAACAATTATGAATGCAATCTAAAAACATAAAAATATATAATAAATAAGTTACCAATTAAAGCAACATCATGTTCATAACAGTAATTTATTAACATGTAAACCGCCGTGATTATTATCTAACGCCTGAATCAGTTTGATGATCAATGGTAACGGCGCTATTGAAAAGAAAAAACGCTTGTAAAAAGAAATACCATTTAATATAATCGTTTGAATGACACAAACAACTAGATAACAATGTAAAGTAAAAAGTACAAATTGTAAGATGTAATATAAAGTCATACTATCCATGGGAATAAAGTCTTAATTATATCATTATTTCATCTTTAAACATTTTAAACATTTATGTAATAATAAAAATGTCACTGTAACAGTAAATTACACAAAAATTTTTCGGCAACGTGTTAAAGTTATTTGCCATTGACGGAAAATAAAATTTGAATGCGAAGTATGTATAATGTCCTCCTTCGTCGATTAATTCCATCCGCGTATTAATAACGATTGTACACAATTGCATGAAATAAATGAATTAAATGGAACCCTGCAGGTATTATTTACATATTTTATACATAATCGATTCTAATCGATATGACTACGTTCTTCCGCATATATAATTTATCTTGTTCATCAGGAAACGTTTTGCAGTCAGGGAACATCATTTTCGCGTATGCATTTTGCGCAGTAAGTGCGCAGTTCTAACTACCCCCAAATGCAATTCTGAGAATTTTTATTAATATAGTAGCAACAGTATACAATTTAACTGACATATCCATTTGGCGCTGATCTTTTGTTACGATGTACTTGAACTGATCTAACAATAATGGAGAATAATACTATAGGATATCATTGGCTGTTGTGAATTCGAGATTATCTGCATGCAATTCTACAAACTGAATATATTAAAACATTCTCTGTTTGTATCTTTACAAGCCATTGCCATCAAATGTGTAATGACATTTCGTTGTTCTTGACAAGAGATTTTACAATAAGAGCTTCCATGTGGAATAACTTAATGCAAATTGTCTTCATGACGCGTCTTACTCGCGATCGACTCTGCAATAAATCTGTTCGACAACACGAGTCATTAGATCGGATAATAAATGGAAAAGGAGATTTTAAATATGCTTAAGCCTTGACGCAAGTCAACGCGAAGGTTTTCTATTTCTCGTAATGCAATATTTATAAAATATCGGACAAATTGTACACTAGAGGATGAAGATAACTCGAAGTATAAACTACGAACTTTAAAATTATGCATTTATGCGATAGGTGGATTTTCATAAATGTGGAATTAAACTTTCATCCCAAAACTGTTGATTTTCAGATTCATCCAGTACTCTTCTAAAATAAAAGTTGAATGAAGTTAATAATTATATAATTTACTTGGAAATATGTACAATTATAATGACAATTAAAATCACAAGTATTACACAGTAGTTTATTAATTTCAATAATTATAAATACCAATAAGAAATACTGTTTCAAATTTGCTAATATTATATCGTTACAAATTAATAAATTCTTAGCACTTTAAGAATTTGTTCAACACTAAATAATCTCATCTAAATTATATCTAATGAACAATGTTTTCTTATAACATGGAAGAAATTCAAGGAGATAGACATTTGTACTATTCATTGTTGAAAATTCAAGAATTTATATCTCTTTTGTATAATATCCCTGTTATATAGATTAATTCACTAACTAAAACCCAACAAAAGTGTAAATAATCATGTTTATTAATGAATTGTAATATAATCAATTGTAATGTCTTATTCGCCCAGCGTATAATATGATTCCCTGAAAAATTAATTGTGTATATTACTAAATCTTATTAATACCGTAAGAGAGTTTCATCATTTAGATGAAACAAAATAAAAGTAACAAAATTTATTATAAAAGAAAAAAAGACGAATTCTTAAAACTTTGAAAATTTAGAAAATTGATTTTTTAATATTTATTATATATATTTATTATTTACCTATAATTATATACTAATCTCCGTTTTTTCCTATAAATTATTGTCGCCACTACCGAAATTCCTATTAATGTAGTAGTTATGATAACTGCAACTAAACAAAAATATTATTAAGATCTTAAAAATCTATATTTTTGTTAAAAGAATCATTTATTTAGTAATTATTAAAGGAGATACTTACTGAACATTTTATATGTAGATATTGATACATCTTTCGATTGTGTCCTAAGGCACTTTGTTATGTGAGATAAAGTACCATTAACCATGGGACATTTCAAATTGAGTATTTCACAGAACAAGGGAAACAGATCTGTATTGTTAAAAGGCTCTAATTTACATCTTGGCATAAAAGCAGGTCCATTCGCAAAGAAGAATGGATGCATCTCTTTAGCTTCATTATTATAACCATGCAGCCCAAATTCTGTCCGATTATCCACTAAATAGGAACAATGACTCAACGTAAAAATTATATGTATATCTATATAATAATAAATATATAGACAATATAAAATTACCCGTGATATTAAATTTCTGTTTATAAAATTCTATAGCATCATAAAGGTTTTGAAATGCATATCCAACTTCAGCTATGACAAAAATGGGTCCCACACGAGTATTATTGCCATAATGATACTTCTTCGGGATATCTTCTCTTCTATAAACTTTGAACGTTCTCGTTTGGTCTGCGGCAAACTTCAAATTCTGATAAATAATCTCTTCTTTTCCTAAAAGTATTTAAAGGAAAAGATGTAGCAAAATAGAAATAATTTTATGCAAATCATATTGTGAAGCAACCTTACCAGGATGTGGAAAAATATGTAATCCCGGAGAAGTTCCCACAAATGTATAATCAGTAACGTTGATGTAATTTGTCAAATTTATTATTCTTTCCATCGTAACCGATGCCATACCATGATCGCTTAAGTGAATCACGTTAAGAGCATCTGTCAAGCCGTAATGATCAATTTTATTATGCATATATTTGGTAATATTATCTAATTTTTGGAGAATTTCATTAAATTCAGGACTGTTTATTCCTATGGCATGACCATGGTAATCTGGGTCCTCAATATACAATATTCCTAAGTTTATTGGATTTGTAGGATGTACAAACCACGATAATAATTCATCAATACGCTTCTCCCACGGAATCGTATCATTAAAAGCCTAAAAAAATTATTAACATAATTGATACACCTTCTTAGAATCTAAATATGTTATTCCATATATTAATCCAATACACACTTGTGCGAAAGTAGGCGACGTTCCTTGATATTCAAACACAGAGCCCGGCCACATCATTGTGCCACTACGTCTGCCATTTTTTTCATTAACCGTCTGAAATAATGTGTTTATGAAATATAAAACATACCTGACATATATCCAAAATATAATTATCATCCTGTTACATACCCAAATAGGTAAAATATTGTTATTGTAATGATACAGCTCGTATGAATACTTGGTAGTATTATTTTTGCTAGAATCAAAAAATTCATTATCTACAACCCCATGTGTTTCCGCATAAAATCCTGTTGCCATCGTGTGATGATTTGGGAAAGTCTTAGTGACAAAAATGTTTATCATGTAGTCAGTGGAAGTACCCTGCGCCTTTAACTGGCTCATGAACGGTGTCAGCTTTCTCTCGAAGTAATCATATCTATACAAAAGAAAATAAAACAAAATGAAATGAAGGTGTATCTTTGTTTTGTTTATTTTTTCAAACTTTAACATATTTATGTCGCTGATAGAGCAGACTACCATATGTTAAATTATATGCTATCCAATACAAAATATAGAAAATTATGAATCAATATATAGTGTATTAATAAATATGATAGCTGATATAGAACAAATAAATATAACACTTTTGGTTGTCCTGTAAAATCTTAAATGAAAAGAAGTTTTGCTGAAAAATGTAACTAGATACAAATTTATAATACTTTTGAGATTTCCACTTTCTATATAGAAGCTATGTTTCGCGGCTTATCTCTATGTCCATATTATACATTCTTGAAATATCAAAACATTCCAACATTGAACGTGCGGACACGGAGATAATGCATGAAACACAGTTTCTATATACATATAGATTAAAGTAATACACATAGATAAAAGTAATTACATGGACTACTTAAATATTTATATTAGACACTCAAGCTTGCAACATCAAAATTGCAACATTATCATACTCGAGTATTCTACATAATTATTTTGGCAGTCCGGCATAATTATTATCAGATCTGTGTCTGGCTTAATTTTTATATACTTCAGTAAAAGCTATTTTTTCCACGTAACAATAATTTTTGTGAATCTTATGCATTTCGTTTTTATGATACCGTGAATATCCTCGTACCTGAACGCATCGTAGGAGACGATGAGTAGTTTTGGAACATCTGGCATGGGAATCGCCCAGGCGTTCAGCAGGAAGAGAAACAGCGAAACAAATGGGGCTGCAGAGATCATGGTGACGCAACCACGGCGATCCTCGGGAACATGGAAAGGTGCGAATTATCGTCCCATAATCGTGAAAATGATCACGAAGGCACCGCTCATGGTTGCATTTATAACCTGTTGGATATATCGGTCGACCGGACGACGCCGAGCCACACCGAGCCAACAGCCAACTGTGCAGTGTGCTCCAATTTTCGCAAGCAGCGTGAACTGGCGTGAACTGCGTGAAACTGGTTGCTTCCACCGCCGCATAGCGGACCGTCTCATGACTAAAAAAATCTGTTCTCCTAGCTGCACCGTCTTACATCTATTGCACTATTGTGCAGTCAATTGTGCACTTAAAACGAGATGGCGAGCCAATGTTAAGCCGGCG